AATAAATAATAAATAATAATAATAATAATAATAATAATAATAATAATAATAATAATAATAAATAATAAATAACAAATAATAAATGACAAATAATAAATAATAAGTAGCAATAATGATAATACTGTTTAACAAATAATTAAATAATAATAACTGTAATCAAGAAAATATTAATTTGGTCTCTATTACGTCTGCATTATACACTGCCGGTTGGTTTTCTAAATGATTGGATGATTCATTCAAAGGTATAAATATTTTTGCGCAATGTTTCTTCCGTCAGCGCTAATCATCTTCACATTACGTATGTACCACTAATAATGATTCATAGGAATGGCATGAACAATGAAAGATGATAATAATGATGTTAATGGTAAATGATCGATAGCAATAAGTTTTAGTGATAAAGAGATGAGGCTGATAATGATGATGATTGTTGGTGATAAGATCAAAAATAAGGTTAAGAGAAGGAAATTGGTGAAGCAGATAAAGTCAAAAGGTTAGATGTATCTACAAAATCATCGTATTCTATCATTTTTACAACCAGAGACATCACAAGGTCAAACCCGTAAACAAGTCTACAAATCGTTGCCTTTCATCCTGTATTTTTCCTTTATATACATACATACAGATAATAATATATAGTAATGAACTAACCATCTTTCGATTCAACAACATAACTATTTTTCGCTTCTTTCGCCTTTTTATTTTCCTTACGTCTTTTAGCAATCGCGCATTTGTCCTAAATGAAATGACACACACTGGTCAACAATTTAGCAAAAAAAATCCTTTTGGAAAATTACAAAAGAGATAAAATGATACCAAATTTTTAGATTTAATTAATGTTACGTATTTCAAAATGAGAAAGTGATATGATCAAATCAAAAAGCTTCAAAAATTCTTCAACTCTTTTCATATAGCTTTCCACACCAACTTCAATCTTTAAAGTTAGCTTATCCCATAATTTCCATTCATTTCATTCCAGTCATTTGTTAGGATGAGGAAAAAGGAAGAACAGGACAGTAAGGGAAAAATGGAGAAAGGACAAAATTGATAAATTGAAAAACCAAACCGGTTGATTCTTTAGATTGGCCATTTCGTTATCCAAATTTGTCTGCTGCTGCTGCTGTTGCTGTTGATGCTGCTGCGGATTCTGAAATAAATGAATAAAAACGATTGCATTTTACTAATAATAATAATAAGTGGGAGTAAATTACTCATAAAATTCATTAGCTGCTAATAGTAAGGATGTCTTTGTAAGCATCCTTAAGATAGAGCAATAAAATGAAAGTTGTCATCAAGACATGGAAGCCAATCATTGAGGTATAATAAGTGCAAACTCATATGTACATCCCATTCCTCTCAGTGGCAATCATTCTGACAAATGCTACAAAATGTTTCCCAGAAACCTTCTTTTTCTTTCTTTTCTAACATTTTTGCAAAGAAGATGTGAACAGATAAAATCGAAAGTACATCAAATCTATCGCCTTTCACAATTTCTGTGCTATTCTATTTTCATTTCCATGTACCAGTACAATCATCGATTATTGATTAATTAAGCATTTTTACATATTATATTAATCGGTTATCTAATTAAGATTAAGCCAAACAATCCATAGTAAACCTTATCATCACAACTTTGCCCATCTTTAAACTATTATCCATTGTTGTATACAGCAATTTCCTCTGACTACCTTTATGAAGGTGGTGAAAAAGAGAGAGAGAGAGAGAGAAAGAGAAAGTAAGAGAGAAATTAACGCAATTCTTTGAATTAACTTATTCTTTATGCATATGATATATATATGCATATAAGTGTTCATTAATTTCGTCTAAAATGATCCAAAATAGACAGTGAATTATTGACGGAAGCAAATAATAGTTTTTCACTCCACCTCTCTCCCCCTTTTTCTCTCTCCAATGTTTTCATTCTAACTTATAAGACTTTTTAACTAAAAAAAAAAAAAAAAAAAATGCATATCGGTATCAATAGAAGTATAATTATAATAGAGATAGTCAATACTCGCCGTGCAACTGAAATGTCACATCAAAATGTCATAAGTGAAATGCATTCACTTATTTTAATTTTTTTTTCTTTAAAAAAATAACGAATATAACAACATAGAGATTAGACATTTTCTTTTTGAAACTTCAGCTATTTATTACAAGCAAAAATCATTTGCCTCATCACTTACCATATCACTGTGCAGCAGAAATGAACGTTGATTTTCAAAAATGATTTCGAAAGAAAATGAACGAACAAAACATAAAATTGACAAATAATCTCAACTCTATCGAAATACGTTTCATTTTTTTCTTCAAAAAAAAAAATTTCATCAGTGAAGAATCATAGGAAATATATTTGAAAGTTTTCCGACCGACAAATATCTCCAACAAAAACCATCTATCCATTATTCATAATACCATCATTACTATTTTTTCATGTTAAGATTCGACTGAAAAAAATTTTAAAAAAAATTTTAGATGAAAAGAGAGGTAAATTGAAAATTTACTTAATTACACTGTAACTAATCATCATTCACATTAAATAGATCATATTTTTCCATCGAAATTATCAATAACTGCTATATTAAGTTTAGTTTAATGATGATTCTTTCTATCCCAAAATTTTTCATTCCCAAAGAAAAACTTAATGGTATTGAAGATTGACTGTAAACTTTACAATTACAAAACATATGTTATTAGTTACAAATAAACTGAATGAAGCGTAATACAAATTATGATTGCTATATTACGGCCTGAATATGTGAATTATTTCCGAATAAAAATTATTTATGATCAGTGAAATTGATCAGGAAAATACAATTAAACTCTATCAACTGAAAAAAAAAGAAAAAAAAAACAGGAACTTCTTTCGTTTCAACAATCAACAATGTTTTCTTTCCCCGTTTCTTTTTTTGCTCAAATACCGGTAATAGATATGGGAAATGTGATGATGAAAATTTATCGGTAATTTTCGATAGAGTAACAAACAATAATTCTTGATGATATCTCTCATTTACTATTAACTAATCGTGTTGTAAACAACTACATGGAAACAGAAGAAAATTTAAAAAATAGGGCATTATAATGATCAGATCTAATTATTGATTGTAGTGATTTTAGCACTGATATATCACTATTACAAACATTAAATGATCGAATAGAATAGTATTGATTAGTATTTCGTTATTTTGTTGTAGTATTTATTATTTAAATTCAATGGAAAATAACTATAGATATTACTAGAATACGAACTAGACAACAAACTGAGGCAAAAAGCAATTACAGATTAAGCAACAACCGAAAACTAATCGGTATGAAACACCGATTAGTTTCCGGTTTTTGTCGTTTTCATTACCTACTGCAACTCCCAAGAGCAAGCAATCCAACGATAAAAGTAGACAACAAAATCCTGAATATATTACCAATTTACATGAATTGCATATAAAAACATTAACTTTTCTGGTTAAAGAAACGGTAATAACTTTTTAATTTCAATAAATGATCGATATTTTTCAATAGGCATTTAATATGTACTAGGAATAGAACATAAAACCAGAAATAGATAGGAAATAGAATAAAAAAAGAGGTCAATTAAATGATCAGTGAGTTATTAAAAGTGGAAGTTTTCAAGGATTCATTTATCAGTAAGCATTTAATCTACAAAACAAACATTTCACAATAATCATTTGTTCAGCATCAAACTACCTCAAAAATTCACTAGAAATTTGGAAAAGTTCCCGATGAAAAGAGATATATCTTTCGCATTCCTCTAAAATAGACTTTTAGCAAGGAAAAATAGTAACTGATTAATCATATTTTAAGAAAATTGATTAGATGAGCATACATTCTAGTCTAGATGATTATTCATAAGCTTATCAAAAATATTTTAATAAATATTTTCACAGTATCAAGTACTTTAATACTCTTTTCTAAAACAAACAAACAAGAAACAAGAAACAAAAACACCACGAAAATTCTACACCATAACACTATTCTGTCTTTTATTCCGCCTTTAACGATAATTTCTAATCTCTAAGAATTCATTCTATATCCCCACTAAAAATTTCCAAAAATAATTTTAAAAATTTTCCGGATAAAACAAAGACACTATTTAATCAGCATGAAGAAACATGACATAGTTAAGTTATTTGATAATTAATCATAATTCATCCATTCAATCAATTAAAATTGTTACAACTTTAACATGAAAAGAGAGAGAGAGAGAAAGTAAAAAAGAGTATGAAGATTTGCTTATTAATGCTAAGTAGCAATTTATTTTATTTCTAACAAAAGAGGAATTTCATAGTTATTGGAAATGAAATAAAATAATCTCATCCTATTGATAATAATAATATCAAGCCTAAGCTAAGTTTTTCCTTTTTCCTTTTTCTTAAGAGATATTCTTCCCATCAATGAGCATATATAAGAAGACAAAGTTCTAGGCATTGAGAAAAATGATACTCTTATTTTAGAAAATGAAAATTTAAGCTTATTTTAAAACAAGAATATTACACTCTATAATATTACACATTTATCCTTTTATACACAATCTTTCATCAATATAATCAGACGATAAGTGATAATGTCAAAAAGAGACAATATGTTAGCAATAGACTGTAAATACATATATATCTCATCTCATTGGCATTCAACTTATATACTTGATATAAACATATCAATCAGATACAAACATTTAGATTATAAACATGTCTATGGTAGTTTATTTGAAAATACATAAGACTTATATATTTGCTTTCCCAAATTTCATATCTAAAAATTTCCTGATAGAAATTTATATTTTCACATCAAAAAAAGTACAAACAATTTCTTATGAAATAATACTAGGAATGATGCCAAAAAAAAATTAGGAAGAATAATACAAAAGCCATAAATGGATTAAAAAAATGTATATTCATCATGACAGTAAGTAGCATGGTTATGACGATAAGACAATATGTTAGGAGTAGAAAAAAAAAATGGATTGACATTTCGTACTTTTCTTTAAATTATTATTTAATTTGAAAATAGAATATGAAAAAAAAAACAGAACATGAATAAACAGAATGAAAAATCAATGAGGAAGGAAGAAGAAAGAAAGTGAACGAATATCATTATCATAACTTACACTTCCTATTAGAATATCTCAGTTATCTGCGGAAAATGATAAAAAACGATAAAATTTTTGATCAAATTTCAAATTTTCAACTTTAAATCTATCGTATTTTTGTTGTCTTTCATCAAAAATCTATGAAATAGAGCTGATCTATAGCTCAAAATGATTAATAACAACAAAAATAATTTAAATCTAACAAACATTTAGAAAATATTCATAATTAACCCACTAAATAATATCAAAATGAATCAGTAATACATGATCAAGATATTCCACTGATGTGATGAAAAAGTAAGGTTAGTGAAAAGAACTTTTGTCCCACCCAAAAATGATCTCATCCATCATCAATAATAAAAGACTAACCCTTTTATGCATACAAATACAAATAGCAACAAAAAAAAAAGAAAAAAAAAGAAAAAAAAGAAAAAGTGCATAAATACAGTATCAATAATAAATGATGAAATTTGTTCATCTGATTTAAATGCTTTATCATCACAACAATCACATTTTCAATTGTAATATTTTTATTTGCCAAACTAAACTACAATCCCTCGATTTTTTTCAATTCTTTCTAACTTTCATGTCTTTAAATTTCGTAAAATTATAGCAAAATAATTTCTAAAATATTAATGTTCTTTGGTAGAAATAAATTACTAACAGTGTCAATTACAAAAATAATAAAAAGGATGGAATTGTAAAATGGAATGATAATATTTTGCACTATTCTTTCCATTCCTCTAATTTACTGAACATTGGTTATTTACAATGATCATTGCTATTATATATGAATGAAAATTTCTTCCTTTCATCCCTTCCATTGCACCAATCTATTTACCGATGATGATGATACATGAAGTGGAAATGCTTATGCATGGTACACTTTTATCTTCATGTATATTATTTGAATATATAATTATATTTCGGGAAATATTGATGTATATATTTAATACTAATACTAATAAATCAAATTAATAAAAACTAATTTCGACCAATCATAATATAGGTTTAATGCTTCAACCGTATTTATAATCTGATGGCTAATATTTCAAACTATACCATTCATTATAAGGCCAGCAACCTAGTTAATAAGTTGGATGGCACAGTTATGCAGGTAAACAATATAACTCTTTCTCTCTCTCTCTCTTTGGATAGGTTAATATACCGGTATTGTTACTGTTGAATCAAACAACTGTTCTAATTATCCCAGCACCGATACCTTTTTATAACATCACATCTTTTGACATTTAGAAAAGAAAAAAAAAGAAATCGAAAGATATAGCATGAAAATTTTGATGCTCTTCGGCCAAAAACTTTTTGCAATATTCTAAGATAAATAAGTAGCACAAGTTTCTACATCTACACATACTTCGGAACTGTCTTCAAAATTTTACACTTATTACTTAATCATTTCTTAATTTAAGACGATCATTATCATTAAGCTTGACCAATGCAGTCAATCTTTGCAATCTAATCTTAGTGATCATAATCAGATTTAAAACTGTCAACAAAAATGTCAGAAAAAATCCATAATGTTGACTATCAAATTAATTTTTTTTTTTTTTTTTCACTCACCTTATCATTACATAATATAGGATATTTGGAATTACTCAAGAACAAAACAAAATGTTTGCCTACTAGGTGAATGCAAATGAGTGTACAATTCAATTATGATGGTTAAAAAGCATCGTGATCGTTGCAAAGATAAGCCCACCGTGATCATTCTTCAATAATAAATAATAATGATATTAATAATAGCGGAAAGAACATAAAATATTCTTGTTTAATCTTAATTTACATATAAATAAAAGTAATTAGCGATTTGCATGTGGCTTGGATGAAAACCTGAATCGCACTTCTCCACTAGAATGTAGTATATTTTACTAGACAAAAAACTATCAATTTTAACAATCCAACGATAAACGAAAATAATCTAAAAATATGGCAATCGCCTATTTGCAAAAAAACATCCTCAAATCTTTTTTCTTCAATTATTTTTTAGATTATCATTTAAAATCAAATCACATTTCGTTCTATAAAATAAAAACTTTAAATATTATTAAATAAAGAATTGCAATGCAATGGAACTTCCTAACCGTCATTTGTATGAAAAGGAAAAAAACATTCCTAAAAAGATTGCATCATAAAATCAAACAAGCAGCTAAAAAATTATTATATTAATTCTAAAAACAAAAATTATAAAAACGAAAGGAAAAAATGAACTAACAAGACGAGTATCCTCTGTTGGATCCAAAAGTCCTCTAGCGTAAGTTTCACGCCCGTCGAAATGTGCCGGTATCAAATCTCGCGCTAGTACCGAATTGGATGTATTAGCTGGGATTAAGCTTACTGCAATTATTTGACATTGTCAAATCAAGATAAATTGTTGATGGGAAAAAATCAATAGGAAATGTAATATTTAGCATGCAATTTAGATGAACAACTAACCATTGATCAAACATTCAACATTCATGCATGAACATGAAAAAACTAAAAAAAAAAAGAAATGAAAACGAAAATTTGTTATCTGACCACTAGAAACACAACATATACCGCCATATGAAGAGTTCCTGGGATTGAAACACTCAAGAATTGTTTATGTACTAAAGAATCAACACAATACGGCTAGCATATTAACTTTTTGCCAGAATTACGGAAAGTAATTCTGACAAAAAGTTACCATAAATGAATGATGTAATCATTCATTATTCTAAATAAAAGCGGAAAAGTTAAAAGTAAGAACAGGAGACTAAACTCTCTTAGTGAACATCACGTTCAATTATTTTATTGCATTTCAACTAAAGAGGACATAAATCGTTCCTGTCCTTTCGTGCAAAAAAAAAAAGTTGACAAATGTTTATTCAGAACCATTACAACCCCCCTAAAACTTGCTTTCGTATATTCTTTTTTTTTTTTTTCGAGAAGAAAATACTTGCATAATTCAAATTCATTTCTTGATGAAATAAAAAAAAATCTGTTCCTGACGTCTTTCCAATGCTTACATAACCAAAGAACTTATCAAAAATTATATTATAGATATTCTAATTACATATAATAACTGAGATGAGACAATTGATAAACAGTGGGCACTTTCTGTTACAAACTTAAACTCAACCTTATATGAATAAACATTTGCAAGACATACGTAAATGCTACAGTATCCTATATATTCTTCAGTAACAATCACTAAAATGAAAAACTGCCCAAAAACGATTCTAGAAATGCCAACCATAAGCAAACCAGATAAAAATTCATTTCCTATAAGCTGAGAAATATCAGGCCATAATGTAAGTCCTGTCGTTACTCTTATTAACCGAGAAACATGAATATAAACTTAAAATTAGCTATATCACTACAAGATACTTTATAGTATATAGTATGATAGAAAGATGAAAAGGAATGAAGGGAGAAAAATATGAGATATTTCGTTTGATAATATAGATAAAACAAAAATGGAAGAGTATATGCTAAACTGGATAAGATGCACAGTTTAAGCTAAACTTACGAATCTCACAGAAAAAAAGGAAAGATAAGGAAGAAGGTGAGCAAAAGGAAAGAAGATAAAAATTGAAACAAAAAAGTAAAAAGAGGCTTTAGGATATAAATAAAAAAACATTCATAATCTATTTGTCAATAATTATAGAAAATACATCAGACCAAAAATCGATTGCTTCGAATAGTACATAAAAGTGGAAGACAATTACCATGATAGTTTATGATAAAAATAGATGAACAAAAATATCATTACCTGACTTGATTTTTTCCAGTATAAATGCATTTTACGATTACATCTCGAAATCGACTAACATGTTGTTCTATGCTAGGCTAAAATACTACTTTCTACTAATGCGATAAATTTAAAGTGTTGATCAGTTCATTAGCATGTAATCCTAGAAGGATGAAATAGGGAAAGACGAAAATTTACAGTTCGAAATATTATATGATGGAAAGGATATGTGCTAATTTGCTACCAATGAATGAATGGATAGGCCTAGCTCTAACAAAGATGAATGTACGACTGTTAGAAGCTATTCTTACTTTCAGGAACTGACTAGCTAATAAAGAAAAACGTAGATAATTCATTTGCTCCTTTCGGACAAATCAATATTTCGATGCTACTTACAGATGACAGATGAAACCAAATGTGGATGAGGATTAGTGGTGGCTGTTAAAACCTGAAAATTGTATCAACAAATCCATTTCTACTTTCAAATCTAATCGTTTTTTTTAGAAAGAACATGCCATATGATATTTAACTGTTATAAATGATGATGATTAATGCTTAAAATCGAATCAATAAATTAATTGAAACATTACGAAATATTACGAAATGATCAATTTTTATCAATCATTCTCTTTTTTCTTTTTTTCTGCTAATATCGACTTCATTTATAACATAGCAATTTTAATAAATAGTTATACAAGTACATTTACTAGCACAACTAAAATTAACAGTTGCTGTAAATCAATCTATTAATTACATCACATTTTGAATTATTTAAAAAAAAAAGAAGTAAAAAATAAAATAGAGCAAAATTTTATCGAATGCCGCCGCACAAACTAAGAAATGATTTTTCTTCATGCAATAAATAAATTTAGAAGGAAAAAAAAAGTTAAAAAGACAAAAAGAACATGGACATCACAAACATAATACATATAGAGGACTCACAGAAAGTTGGACCGACGTATCCGTTGTAGCTGTAATCATACTCACCATCAGCAGTTGTAAAGACATCCCTTTTTGTGTTTAATGTACGAGATTTTTGCATATCATATGTGCCAACTCGATTTCCATGTAAACGTAATTGTCCTGCTGAATAGGTGAATGGATTCTGCAATAAAAGTAACAATAAAAATTTTGAAATAATAAAATTTTTTGAATTAATCTTTGTTTACTTTTTTTTTTTTAAAAAAAACATTACCTATTTAAAATCATAATCCTATGAAAAGGGAAAAATATTTGCAGCAAGCATTACTCCTCTTTTTCTTTTCAGTTATACCTTATAATTTATTTTTCCATTCCTCATTTAAATCATTCCATCTGCGCTAGTCTTTCTTTTTCTCAAAATGCTTTGTATATATACATATATAAAAAAAAAGGAAAAACGAATTTGAAGAGGGAAAATTTTAGATTAAGATTTTGAAAAGATACTTGGAAGAATGCATGAAAAAAAATGATGTCAAATCTCCAAGCAGACGCAACAAACTGCAATCCTTATTCTTTCCGCTTCTCCACTTCTCCCATCACTTCTTTATGGTAATTTGATAAAATTTAAGCAAGTTTTATTACTAACATCATCGTGCTTCCCTTGAGTCCCAACAGCTGCAATAGTTTCAGCATTTTTCTGAATCCTATCATCTGCTGTAATGTTTGCTTCAGTAGTTGAAACATTTTCGCGTTCCTTTGAAACTTTCGACATAATGTTCATCATCACTTCATCGTCATCGCTGTCGTTTAACGCTCGAATCTGCAATCGAATGTCATTTCCATTTTCTTCCTCATTGATTCTACTAAAAGGAAAGGAAAAAACTTGAACTAGTTCGAATTTTACCTCGAAAAAATGAGAAAATTTCAAATTTGAAAATTTCGTAAATGACCAAAATCAAATTCCTTGCAGATCAATAAAAAATAAGTCGATGAAATCGATGAAGTGATGTACAAAGTGACGTAATATATTATGAAAAGTAACGCAATACGAGCGAATCATATTTAATTCGATTCAAACATATCTGCAGGGGTCACTGGTCTGTTACGACGCTTATTAATGTCACCAAGGAAATCGCCAGACACCGATCACCCGCCAAGTCATACTACTCAACTCATCCTCCTGCGATAGTGTAACCAAAGATACAAAAGGTACAAAACAATTCGATATTTTCAAGTGCCACAGAGATAGATCATCCTATTCCATAAATATTTTGTCGATAAGGGAGAGCGGCAAAATTAACAAATGCCAAGTATGGATTTTTCCCTTTTATTAGTTCGAAAAATTTCACTACGCTTCAAAATGGAAAATGAAATGGTAAAACCATACTAAAATGACTTTAATCAATGACGATGAGATTAAACATCTCATTTAAAAATGAAACCACAAAGTAACTCATCAAAAACTGAGTCCTGTCAACTAAAGAGACCAAAAGCCTTCTACTTCTACTCTTACAAGTCATATTAGAAAGTTTGAAATGATTTGGAATCAAAAAATTCTTGTGAACGATTTCACATTTCATTTCAGGGAAAAAGACTAGAAAAAGAGAAAAAGATATTTTAGAGGAAAACGAAAAAGATTTAACAAAAAATACTTCAGCATAAAAAGTTTCATAGCAATCTACTTGAAATTATTGGCTTACTCAACCATCACTGAGAGAATTATCAAACATTGTAATGGATTTATATCACTTCAGTTCCATATCAGTGTAGGTCAAACGCTTGGACAGATAATAATAATGCAATATTAGAGGGTCTAAAGTCTAGAAGAATCTCAATTTCTTTTGAAAATAGCAAAATAATCTGAAATTTCAACACGAACTTAACAGAATAGGAAAAAAATTAGAATTTGTCATCTTAAAAATCCTATTTGTACATTAATCAATCTATTCGTCTTCTCATTCAAATTGTATTCTTATCCTAAACCTTAATAATATCATTGAATGAGAAAGTGAATTTTTGAAAAACAACAGTAATTAAATTTAATTTCAAAATAAATCCAATATTTTCGTCCTATTCATTTCCCATTATAGTTTTCCCATATTTATAGTTTTGTGTACTATATGAAAAGAAACGATCATTTTGTAGGTTTATTGAACTGATTAGTTTGAAATGAATTGAAACTGAAAGAAAAGTTTCATTTGAATTATGCAGGTTAGATTTCACAAGACCATCTGTTTGCCTCATGTTTTCCTTATCCATACTGCTATGAGTACAAATGAAATCTTCCCAGTATCTCAGCAAAGTATCCCATTAAAATTAATGCAATACAGCAAAATATGAAGTAATTTATTATTATTAATCATTCAAAATGAATCTTTCTGATCAAACGACATTTTGATGAAATTGGTACACTCAGATTTGCATACATGAGAAGGATACTAATTGATATGATATTTTACGCAATCAGTCATAATTTCACGAAATTTCAATCCCTTATAAAATAATTAAAGTGCAAAAATAGACTACCTCTTGAACTGAATTGCCCTGTCTATAAAGATTTTTGAAGCCGCTACCATTATTGATATGTTCATTTTGATTCTCTCCAATATGCATATTTGAAGAGCTAAAAGATACATTTGAAGCACTAACTAAATTAATTTATTCAGCTGAATATTTCACTTAAAATTTAAGAAAAATACAATATGCCACTAATCTGATGAATTAATAATAATGGTAATCATACACTTGAATATTTATTTATCTAATACTACACTTGATATTTGACAACAGACATACCGGCAGGAATCACTTGCACGTTCATCCTCATCAATGTATGCTATTTTGTTCGTATTCATGCATCCATTCTCAATTGATGATATAGAATTTAACTCACTATAACAAATCAACATGTTATAGCAAAGAAAAAAAAAGAAAAAACATTACCACTAATCCTTAATCTCTAACTACTGTTCACAAGTTCAAAAACATATTCTTTATGAAGAGCAATTAAGTACATATCTACTTTGCTTTAAACTTATTTAAATCCAGTAAAACTTACTTGAAACTGATAACAATACTAGATGATTTATCAACTGTTTGCGTTGCACGTAAGATATCCTCCGAACTACAGCTGCCATTATTGTTCATCATATTACCACTACCTATTGCATGGATAAGTTTCTGTTCAACTGCAATCTTAGATGGTTCATCCGAAGTCAAATTAGTCCTTACGAAACCTTTGGTGTTGTAATTATTACTGACATTATTATTTTCACTTTTGGTATACTTCGCTGGTAGACGTGATTCCCAGTTCTCCTAAAAAAATCTCACATTGATGAATAATGGCGATCCTGATTATAATTATTATAAAAACGTGTCTGGTTAACATCCAGACAAGCTGCAGAGCGCTGATGATCGATTCAAGATCAAGAGAGGCAGACATTACAACAACAAGTAGATACAAGATGATGAAAAACAATTAAACAACAGAAACAAATGTTGCAAATATTCTAATTCAATTGATCATCATCATCTGATAATGATCGTGATAATTTGTGCAAAAAAAAAAAAACAATTTATATAAAAGCATAAATTGCTACTCAATTTCTCGTTACCGCTATCTAATACATTTGCGATATTAAGCTACAAGCGACTTCATAGCTATGTTCTACAGATAAGCCCAAAATAGCATAAGTGGAATTATCATATTTTATTATTATGCAATAACACCGTTGTACGTTATGTTATTCGCACTAGTTTATTGAATATAACAATCAGCTCGAAATTGTTGATACTATCAAACATAATTTCATTAAAATTCGCTATGCTTAATGATTAATGATTGTAAGAGTAAGCATACATCACGCTAATTAAATTTTTTATTCAGTCCTATTAAATGGAACTTATATTTCATATAAAAAAGTTATATCGAGTCTTGCATAAATAAAGAAGTACAATGCTAATGTTACTGAACTAATTTTAGATAGCTGAGTGAAGGAATTCCTTAAATATAGCTGGAACTTTGATTACTAGTTAAATTAATCTTAAGAACTAATAATCCTTAATCAATAAACTCTACGCAAAAAAAGAATAGTTATATAATAACATAAATTACCACTCAGTTCCTCTTTACTACTATCTAATACCTACATATATTTGCAATATCAGCTAGAAACTTCAAAGATGAAGGTATGGAAAGTAAATAAGCAAGCAAACAGATCAAACTAAATTGTAATATAATTTTAGAGATGCTCTGATTAAACGTGGAATATTTTAGGTTTTGTGTAAGAAGAAAGAGAGAAGAATAGGAGACGAGCTTTAATTCTTCTATCTAATAATTTCCAATCGTAAACGAATTTGTAAACAATTCGATATAAGACATGTCCTTTTCTTTGCTAGCAAAATACACAAGCCTAGCGATATTAGCAGTTATGCAGCAGCCATTTCAGATAGCAATAATTCCGATAATCAATCAAGAATAAAGCTGGATAATTGAAAACTTCATGTGAATTTTTATGACCGTTAAAAAAACAGAACATTCCGTTGGTTCAGTAAACGAAGCATGTCTACACTAATTTTTTTTTTTTTTTTGATGCTGTCAATGTATCTCGTCATCCTAGCTGTATAAGAAAAAATTTTTGCGATGCCCTAATCTTTGCATTATATTATTTTTTATTTAACAATAAGAAAAATCTTTAAATTCATAAATTCGCTAAATTTCACCAAAGTTTTCACTAAACATCTACGTC